TCTCCCTAATGCTCCAACTATTTTCCAGTTCTGAGATGAACATATACCTTTATATTATATTATGTTACTCATTTGTTTCTAGAAGGACTTTTGTCATTCTATATCTACTTATTGGGCACCTACTATGTGATGGGCACTGCACGGGGGGCTGGGGAGTTAGAGGTAAAATATGAAGCCATCAATAATTTTCAGCAAAGAATGCTATGGAGCACATAGGACTGACACCCAGTCAAGACTGGGGGCAGGAGTGTTTGGAATTGGAGAAGGAGTTAGGGAATTTTTCTTAAAGTGAATGGTGTCTTTGATGAGTTCTGAAGAATTCAATGGCGTTAAACAGGGGAAGGAGTCAGGAAAGGATAAAAGCATTCCCAGCATAACAAATGGAGTGTGAGCCTAGAGTTTAGTGTTTCTTAAAGGGATAGCTATTGGTAATTTGAGGGTACAAATGTACTTGTATGAGACTCTCCCATGTACTGGAAGATGTTTGGCATCCCTGCCCCCAGTATTAAGTGTTGGGAGTACCGGCCCACTCCTCAAGCACACAATCAATATGACAGCCAAAAATGCCCCTTCACATTTCCAAATACATACCCCACCACTTCATGGAGGGGACAGGGGAGTTATCACTTCCTGGTTGAGAGCCACTGCTAAAAAATGCATGGTGGCATGTCTTGGAACTGGAGTATGACTGGGGAGGACAGAGGTGGAGAAAAATGAAGAAGGCAGAGGCCAGATCATAAATTACCTTGCATGCCATCCTAAGGAGTTTACTTTCTAGAAAAAATTTCCTTGATCAGGGGTAGATAGGCTGTATATAAAGGGCTTTGGGTTGAGCCTGGCCCATAAGACATGGTCGGTACATTTTGGATCTCTGTCTCCCAGGATCTTGTCAATCCCAATTTAGTTAACACATGTTCTTTTCATATTCACTATCTGTATACTTCCTGAGTGTACATCACAGTCAAAGTGACTGATGACAGTTAACTCGCTAATGTCTGTTCAACTGGAGGGAAACAGTGGGGAGGGGCAAGACAGCTCCAAGAAGTCAGTGAAGTGTGTGGCAGCCTCCATCCCAAGGATCTGGGGCACTTCCCTGCTCTTGCAGCCTTACAGTCTAGCTGTGTGAGGCCTCAATTAAGCAAGCTCCAACTCAGAAAGAACCTGAGCCGTGGGATCCCAACAGCCACTACCACCACCATCCACCTTTGCCAGGGAGTGCCAAGGAGAAAATGCTGTGTCCTCCTAGCACATCCCGTGGTAACCGAAGGCCCCGGTTATAAATAGTTGTATTCCTCCGCCAAGACGTGCGCTAAAAACGTGCACTAAAAACGAGGCTGCGTTTTCCTATAATAAACAATGTTATACTTGTTAGGTTGCAGACTGAGCCCTCCAAACCCATTTACCCATACAGTAGTGAAGCCATAGTGATGAAGAAATTTGGAACCCACTGTCCTATATAATGCTTTTTCCAAGAAAGAGATATTCCCAATTCCAGATAAAAGATCAGAAACACATATGACCCCCATTTATTCTACCTTCACCTAAGGCTCTAGCCACACTGAACTACTGCTCTCAATTCCTGTAAGCCATCTCTTGCCTCCAAGCATTTGCCAGTGCTGTGCTCTATGCCTGAAATGTACCCCACACCTCCCTGCTGCAGCGTGTCCCTCCTGTGGGCTCCCAGAACCTCCACTTCTTCTTCCTGTCAAAGCACTTACCACTCCATGTAGCAATTGCCTACTTACTAATCAGTCTTCCGCACCAGATTTCAACCTTCCTGAGGGCTGAGATCCTCAATGCCTGCTCAGTGCCTGGCACACGCTGGACATTCTATAAGTACTCATTGGAATGAATGATCGAAGGAGTATGTGAACCTTCTGTGAATACAAGCCCAGCAACAAGACCAAGGATTTTTCCCACTTTCCCACCATCTTCTGAGAACAGAGACTCGCTCCAGTTGTGTGCCCCAGAGTGTGGGTTAAGTGGAGGAAGAGAAGGAGAGAGGCCAGGAGGATGTTCTGGGGGAGAGGTCAGCATTCAGTGAATTTGGCTTCAGAAAGGACCAGCCACAGCACAACTGGGAAGAAGAAGGACCCGCATCATACAGGTCAGACTCCTTTGTGATGGGCTGTCTTAGGAAGAGGACATGGTCAAATGGAGGGGGGGTAGCCTGCTTGTAGTTTGAGGAGTCAGTGCTAATTAAATTGTAAACTTTTACAACAGTACATATGTCCACCCAACACCTGTACAGGAATGTTTATAGCAGCATTATTCATAATAGCCCAAAAGTGGAAACAACCCAACTGACCATCAGCTGATAGATGGATAAACAAAACATGCTATATCCATACAATGGAATATTTTCAACCATAAGAAGGAACAAAATACTGATACATGCTACAATATGGATGAACATTGAAAACATTATGCTAAGTGAAAAAGGCTGGACACCTAAGACCACATATTATATGATTCCATTCATGTCCAGAATCTATAGAGGGGACTACAGAGACAGAGTAGATTAGTGGTTGCTTAAGACTGTGGGGGTGGGAAGGTAGGGGTGATAGCTAAAGGGCACAGAGTTCCTTTTTGAGATGTTGAAAATGTTCTAAAGCTGGCTGTGGTGATGGTTGCTTGCATCAGTGAATAGACTAAAAGCCATTGATTTGTACAGTTTAAATGGGTGAATTGTACGGTATGTGGATTATTTCAGTAAAATTGTTAAAAAACAAAACTTTTTTTTTTTTTTAAAGATTTTATTTATTTATTTGACAGAGAGAGACATAGTGAGAGCAGGAACACAAGCAGGGGGAGTGGGAGAGGGAGAAGCAGGCTTCCCGCTGAGCAGGGAGTCCCATGTGGGACTCGATCCCAGGACCCTGGGATCATGACCTGAGCCGAAGGCAGACGCTTAACGACTGAGCCACCCAGGTGCCCAAAAAACAAAACTTTTTTTAAGATTTATTTATTAGAGAGAGAGAACGCACGTGCGCGCACACACGAGTGGGGGGAGGGGCAGAGGGAAAGAATCTCAAGCAGACTCCCCAGTGAGCAGGGAGCCCGATATGGGGCTCCAGCCCACAACTCTGAGATCATGACCTGAGCCAAAATCAAGAGTCAGACTCTTAACTGACTGAGCCACCCAGGTGTTCCACAAAACAAAACTTCTAAAACAGGATGTTAACCTGGGCTTTTGAGAACTGGGTACCACCTGAAATAGCAAAATTGACATGTCCTGGGTCTGTTGATTTCACTGGATTCTTTATGACCCACTCCTCCAAAGATAATCATAACTGCTCTGCAGAGCTGAGTGCCCCATCATAGGGCTCAATGCAATGCCTGACTGCATGGAAAGAATGTGATGAATATTAATGTAATCAAATATGAGAATTAACAATTTTATTATTATTATTTTTTAAAGATTTTATTTATTTGAGAGAGCACAAACAGGGGGAGGGGCAGAGGGAGAGGGAGAAGCAGACTTCCCGCTGAGCAGGGAGCCCTGCACGAGGCTCTACCCAGGACCCTGGGATCATGACCTGAGCCCAACGCAGACGCTTAACCAACTGAGCCACCCAGGTGTTCCACAAAACAAAACTTCTAAAACAGGAGGGGCAAGACAGCTCCAAGAAGTCAGTGAAGTGTGTGGCAGCCTCCATCCCAAGGATCTGGGGCACTTCCCTGCTCTTGCAGCCTTACAGTC